CTGTTCCATGTGGCACATGTGGCTTTTATGCTCTTGAAATATGGTTAGACCAAAGCACTGATGTTTAAATTTTATTTCACATTAATTTCAATTTATATAGCCAAATTAGGATAGCTTCTATGGTACTGGACAAACACAGCATTAAACAGTTTCCCTGTCAGAGATGTATGTAAAAGAAATAATACAACGAAAATAATGAAAGGCATAAAAGATATAAAACAGTGAGGCTGAACTGTAACAATACTTCTCGGTAAAATTAATATCAGATACTATTGGATTTCTTACAGATTATTATGAATTTTGCAGTGTTATTTTATTGAAATATAAGAAACTGTGCATAAATGTTGCAATAGCTGAAACAGCTGGCTGTGTTTAGAGTGTGGCTTGTTCCCTTGGAAACTCATATCAAATTTGATTGCTGATGTTACAGTACTGGTAGATAGGGGGAGCTTTATGGCAGCTTTGGCAAGGAGGGCTCCACCCTCAGGAAGGAGTTAACGCCACCTGTTTGGGGCTGGATGAGTTACTGAGAAGCAGGTTGCCCTGAGTGGGGTCACTCCTAGTGTTTTTCTTTTGCTGAGGCTGCTTATACTTTTGCTTTTCCACCATGTCATGATGGAGCACCAGGCCTTTGCCAAATGTGGCCACCCCATCCTCCAGAACCATGAACCAAAATCAACTTTCTTTCTTTATAAATTACCCAGTCTGTGTCATTGCAGCAGAAGAATATAGACAAAGACACACTCATCCATCGGAATGGTGAAATAATTTTAGTGGCATGCAATTCTCTATATCATATTCCCTTAATCTATTCTTTGAGGTTTGGGATCCTGCAGTAAGATTTTTTCTTAAATCACCTGCTAACAACGGAAGATACTATTGCAGCCATACTGATTACATCTTCCTTTCCTTTGCACATTCTGATTAACAAAAGCTGGTTGCTGATTTTGTGACTAATTAGAGTGTCTGTTCAATTCAACAGACAAAAATAATGCCTGCTTGAGAACTCCAGAAATTAGCCCAGAAAAGGCTGGCTGAAATTGCAGAGTAGTCGGGCCCATCCCGGTCAGCGTGACCGGAGGACCCAATAAATAACTTCAGCTGAAAGTGAGCACTGTGGCTCCAGCCAGCAGAGGCCGGCCTTGCAGCTGTCCCCATCCTTTGTTCCTCTCTTTCCTGACTCCCCTTCACCTCTCCTTTCTGCTCCCTTCAAAAGCTCGCCTGCTAGTTTGAGAATTGGCAAAAGTGGCTTTGAGACTGAAGATGTGTGTTTTTGCCCAAGATTGACAATCTCTTGAATAAAGCTGTTTCTTTACATCAACTCTTATCCCTGGTGAATTGGCCATCCCACAGTGAGCAACCCTGGCCTAATTTTAATGGCACTGTTATGGATAAGCAAATATATTTGTTCTTTGGATTTTTTAAGGCTCCTTTCCTCATTTTATTTTCAGACTGGGATTTAGCATGAAATCAGTATTGATTTGGTATGCTTCAGTAAGATAAAAAGATTACTATGTATATAATAGGTGGTGGTTTCATTTGAGGTTGTCAAGATATTTATCTTTTCTAAATTTATTGAATAGAGTGGCTTGGGCATAACACTAGGGGATATTTGCTTTATTAAGGCAGGTATATACAAATAGATACTGCAAATGATAGATCATCTGATTATTTTTAGTGATAAAAAATAAAATGGTGACTAAAGAATACAAACAAAAAGTGAAACAAAGAAACCATGGCTTGTAAGTCTTTGATTTCACAAACTGAATGGAAAATAAATAGTAATAACTTGCTTTCTGACTGCATTATGCTAAATCTAGCCCATTCAATAAGCCAATTACAACAAGATGGTTTAACCTTACTATATCTAAGAGACTTAGGCTTTGGGCCAGTTTTGTGGTGTAGCAAGCCACTGCCTGCAGTGCCAGCATCTCATATGGGTGCTGGTTCCAGTTTCAGCTGCTCCACTTTTGATCCAGCCCCCTGCTAGTGCACCTGCACAAAATGGCCCAAGTGATTAGTCCCCTGCCACTCATGTGGGAGACCTGGATGAAGCTCCTGGCTTCGGCCTAGACATCGTGGCCATTTGGGGAATGAACCAGAAGATGGAAGATCTCTCCCTCTGTCTCTATCACTTTGCCTTTCAAATAAGTAAATATATATTTACATAAAAAAGACGTAGGCATGAGATAATTCCCCCCCATCTTCCTCCTTTATATCCAACCACTTATTTCTAGAAGTTCAAGTTAATGTGAAAATAACAGAATTACATTTTTAAAATTAACTAAGAAGGAAAAATACTCTCAAGCTGCAGAAATTGACCTTATATCTAGAGAAGTATTGGAATTTAAAGAAATATTGTTCTAACTGCTAAAAAATATAGTAATATAGAGAATAGGGAAATTATGAAAATCATTATATCTTATGGTAAAACATCAATAGAAATGCACTTGAAAATATCCCAAAGAAAATAACAAGAAGTAGAAAATACTTGTAAATAGTCACAACAAGAGTTCTGGAGCTTATTTCAGATCAAAAATAGTAACAGGGGAGAAAAAAATCATGTTAAAAATGAAAATAAATGATAGAAAAAAGGGCTAATTGTCCTTGCATTAAACTGTAAAACCCATGTAATTCTATTCAAAACTATAATTAGATGTATGTGTATTTGTGTGTGTATATATACACATATGGTTTAAAAATAGCTCTCAAATTGTTTACTCAAGTTTGATGTGGCAATTAACTTAAAAGAATAGCCAAAAATGTTTTACAAAAGGAAATAATAAAAAGAATATATTATACCTCATATTACAATAAATTATAAAATTAGTCAATTGAGCAATGTGAATTTTTATGAAAATTAGTGATCAGTCAGGCAGAAGAAGTATGTTAAGTACACACATACATTTTCAGAACATAAGAGGAGTTTAAAGGTGGCTAAAAACTATATAAGTAGATCAATGTTATTTAAGTAATTGACTATCTTTTTGGAGAAAAATTAATGTCAGCCTCATGTCATGCACAGAATCTAAATTCCAGATGTTTGAATATTAAAATAAATCTTTAAAAATTCTTTAATATTCATAATGATTATAGTTGTAAACATAGTTTATAAACTATAAAAATAAGCTGCTCTTCTTATAATCTGAGATAGAAGTTTTCTGTAAATCAGATAGCTTGTATGAAAATATTGATGTTCTTAACTATGCAAAAAGGAGAAAAATTTCACAAAATCTCTACATTTAAAAATTTTATTTATTTATTTTTTAAAGATTTATTTATTTTACTTGAAAGGCAGAGTTACAGAGAGAGGAAGAGACACAGAGAGAGAGAGAGATCTTCCATCTGCTATTTCACTCCCCAAATGGCTGCAATGGCCAGGGCTGGGCCAGGTTGAAACCAGGAGGCTGGAGCTTCTTCCAGGTCTCCCAGGTGGGTATAGGGGCCCAAATAGTTGGGCTAATTTTTGCTGCTTTCCCAGGCATATTAACTGGGAGCTGGATAGGAAGTGGAGCAACCTGAAATCGAACCAGCACCCATATGAGATGCTAGCCCTGCATGGGGTGGCTTAACCTGCTAAGCCATAGTGCCAGCCCCTAAAAAAATACATTTTGAAAAATAAAAATCACTGCTATTCACTGAATCAGAATAGTTGCAGGATCTATTAAGAAAAGGATGAATAAATAATTCATCCAAAAAAACCAAACAGCAATGTACAATTAACATTTGAAAATAATAGTCAACTTCATTGGTAGACAGGAGATTATAAATTAAAACCACAATTTAATAAGGAAGAGATACTAATAACAGTCTACTGCTAGAGACTTAGCTTTTCACAAAGTAGGTGCCCTATCTTTTAGCTTTATTATAAACATTTATTTCTTTTGTGTTAGCTGTTGTAAATGTTTTGGAGATGATAAAGTTGAAATAACTCCAATTTCTACCTGTGTGAGCAGATTTACAGTTTCTTATACAGCTTTTATGTTTATGCTGCTATCAAATGAATAAACCCATGGGGACATTTCTAAGATAGGCCGGTGGGTGAATAACATAAATATTAGAGCAAACTTTATAAAATATTTTTATGATTTTTTTTTTAGAATTCACACTCTCAGATTTCTTTCTAGTTCTCACCTTTTCCCCCTTCTCTCTCTGGAGAAACAAGAGTGAATGGAAATGCTGGGACCATGACCATGTGGGTTCAGTGCAGTCTGCTTATGGTTTTGGAATAACATTTTTTCATTGTAAATTTTTTTTGGAGTTCCCACTCCCCACCCCCAGGCATGCAGAAGAAAAGAGAGAAAAAACTGCTATTTTTAAACCAATCCTTGATGATTGTGTATGTGTATGATTTTACTTTTATTTATTTGAAAGGCAAAGTTACAGAGAGAGCAAAGGATACAAAGAGAGAGAAAGATCTTCCATCTACTGGTTCACTCCCAAGGTGGCCACAATGGCCAGGCTGGGCCAGGCTGAAACCAGAAGCCCCAAATTCCATTCATGTCTCCCACAGGGATCGCAAGGACCCACACAACAGGACTTGGAGTGCCCCTCCCCTGGGTAGCCGGCCGAAGAGTAATGTTTCATCAAGAGGTTCTTTCAGGCCCAGATAGAGGGACCAGGGGGTTTCTACCCAGCTGCCTTCTATTGACCCCAACATCTAGCTGGAACCAGTCATGACAACAGCCAGGAAAACTGAGCATGTGCAAATGTCAGAGACTTAACAGACAGTGAATATTTCCCAAATTTTTCCCCAGGAGGACCTTAAGCCATATTGCATTGCATGTCTAGCCATGTTTCTGTACTGCCTCTGAGTGAGCCTGCTCCAACCCCTAGGTGTGAAGAAGAGTACTGCCCCTTTCCTAGTCACTTCTCCTAAGGTAGTCAGTGCCCTCTGCTGGGCAACCATGGCTTTGCAAATTGTTCCTGTGGTCTCATTTGCTCAAGGAAATCACTTTCCATGACAACCACTTCTGGCAGAGGCTCTGCTTTCTACTCACCAAGAAACAGACCCTCAGCTTGAGTGGGTAGTGCCTTGATATCGTTCGTGTTCAGGAAACCACTGTCCTGTGGTGGAATTATTTTGAGATTTCTCTCAGTGCTTCCAGATCTTGTTTTGAGCTCCATAATGGCAGCGCCGTTGCTAGACTGAGATTCACAGAGTGGGGCCGAAGAGGTAGCAAGTGAGAGACATCTGAAATAGCAGAGAAGTGGCCCAAGTGAGGTTGAGATTTCATCTCTTTCTACATCTTTGTTATTTTTCTTCAAATCCGAATGTATACCAGTAGTCACATGCAACAAATATACCTCTTCTTTTCATAAAGAGATCCTTTTAATAATCGAAAAAAGAAAGTTCTGACAGCTGAGGTCATGTGTTTATGTCTCTGTAACGCAGTGTTCTTTCATGTGTGGAAATCATTCAGTGGTAGTGGCCTGAAAATTACCAACAAGGGAAGGATCCTAGGAGAGAAAACTCTTTAAGGGAGTCTGTGGGTCTCTCTCCCCTTTCTGCCCATTATGTAAAGAAGGGCTCAGGGGCCGGTGCTGGTGCTGTGGTTCAGCAGGTAAAGCCACTGCCTGCAGTGCCGGCATCCCATGTGGGCACCTGTTTGAGTGCCAGCTGCTCCACTTCTGATCCAGCTCTTTGCTATGGCCTGGGAAAGCAGTGGAAGATGGCCCAAGTCCTTGGGACCCTGCACCCACGTGGGAGACCTGGAAGAAGCTCTTGTCTCCTGGTTTTGGGTCGGCCTAGCTCCAACCCTTGCGGCCATTTGGGGAATGAACCAGCAGATGGAAGACTTCTTTCTCTGTCTCTCTGCCTCTGCCTCTCTGTAACTATGCCTTTCAAATAAATAAATAAATCTTAAAAAGGGGGGGGGCACAGAATATGTCATCAAAGAAACTGGATAGCAAATATCTTTGTCAGGAAAAGATGCTGCTGCTTGTGAGGCATAGGGCAGGACTGTTTGCTATTGAAGATAATACAGATAATGTTCCCCTTGGGCAGTTTTATTGCATATTATATAAGACTTGCGTTATTTAAGTCCAGGGTTCTTAGTGCATGTGTGGCATCCATCTGGACTATTCACATTATGCTTAGAATTTGGTGGATAAGGAGAACCAATGAGAAAATTAAATTTTTTAAGAATAATTTATTTATTTCAGAGGTAGACTTACAGACAGAGAAGGAGAGACAGAAAGGTCTTCTATCCTTTGTTTCATTCCCCAAATCGGCTGGAGCTAGGCTGATCCAAAGCCAAGAGCCAGGGTATTCTTCTGGGTCTCCCAAGTGGGTGCAGGAGCCCTGGCACTTGGGCCATCTTCTACTGCCTTCCCAAGCCATTAGCAGACAGCTGGATCAGAAGAGCAGCAGCCGGGCCATGAACCGGTGCCCATATAAGATGTTGACACTGCAGGTGGAGGCTTAGACTACTATGCCACAGTGCCCTCCCCTTAAGCTTATTTTCTGGCTATGTCATGAAGAATAAATTCCTTCTTTTATGACGCAGAATCTCATGTCTCCTACCATCATCCATGAATGGGTAATAGTTAAACTGTGCAGCTTGCTTGCAAGTAAGATTAAAATCCTCAGACCCTACACAGTTTCTGACCATTAATGCAACCCAAATAAGGGACAGAAATTGTTATAGAGGAAGCACATTACAAGAGTAGCTACTTCTCCAGGACGGGGTTCTCGGCACATGTAACTCTGAGCTACACTGTGACACGGTTTCCTAAGGAAAGATTTTACCTCTCTCTATCACCACAGAAAGTTTATTAAAGTCAATCTCTGTTTCACCAAGTCATTTAAAATTTTCACACTGAAAAACAATATTATCTCCATGAGATAAGTATTTAGCACAGTATCTAATATGAATATCTGAATACAAAATACTACTACTGGGGAAAGTCAGTGTCCCCACCCAAATAATCTGGTAAATATTCATTATGACATAACCTATAAAATGGTTGATGTTAGCCAGTTGCCCAGCACCAACATTCAAAATTTTTATACTATGTAACTTACAGTGGATAGACATACTAAGGATGTATAACCAAAATTGGAAATCCTTTAAAAACTACATGTGGCCCTTTAAGCATGGTAAAGTTGTGTGTTTAGAGCCAGCTGATTAAACGTTGATGATAAAAATCATAAAAATACTGGTAAGAAAATTTAGAAAACAAATTAGTAGCTGAGATATTTAGAGAAACATGACCTTGTGTATTTTTATTGCAGCAGGTGTTATGTTTGAAAACTGATTCCTATAAATCGGGGCTAATGTGGCATGGTCCCAGTTGACACAGAAAATACAAATGCTTCTGATGAACTTTATAAATGCCAAACAGCAGATGCATGTGTTGGCTATTAACATTTATGGATTATTTTACTAAACAGAAAGGTAGAAATTAAATATATTTTCTGGCCACATACTGAAATTTTCACAATGATGTTTGTCAGAGATATTTCATGCTCTTAGCATAAAGGTAAAAAAAAAAAAAAACTTCAAAATTTACATTTAAACCAAAAACATGAGGTCTTGTCTTGAATGATTATATATGCTTCTTTATTTTATTTATTTATTTATTTATTTATTTATTTTTATTATTTTTTGACAGGCAGAGTGGACAGTGAGAGAGAGAGAGACAGAGAGAAAGGTCTTGCTTTGCCGTTGGTTCACCCTCCAATGGCCACTGCGGCCGGCTCACTGCGCTGATCCGATGGCAGGAGCCAGGTACTTATCCTGGTCTCCCATGGGGTGCAGGGCCCAAGTACTTGGGCCATCCTCCACTGCACTCCCGGGCCACAGCAGAGAGCTGGCCTGGAAGAGGGGCAACCGGGACAGAATCCGGCGCCCCGACCAGTACTAGAACCCGGTGTGCCGGCGCCGCAAGGCGGAGGATTAGCCTAGTGAGCTGCGGCGCCAGCCTATATATGCTTCTACAGTTTAAGTATTTGTCTCCAAAAAATTCATGTTGACATTTAATTTCCATTGTTACTGTATTAAGAGGTGGTACCTTTGAGATTAGACTGTGAGGGCACGCCCCCTGTAGTCCTGAGCAATGCTTTGACAGAAGGGTGAATTTGACCCTGTTTTGGCTTCTTTGCTCTTTGGCCTTCTACCGTGCGTTAATGCAACAAGACAGCCCTCTCCAGGGCCAGTGCCTTGATCTTGGACTTCCATGCTTCCAGAACTACAAGAAGATAAGTTTCTGCTCATTGTAAATTATCCAGTCTCAGGTATTCTATTAAAGAAAGGTAAACCAGACAGACACCAGCTACTGTGCAAGTTTCCAGACATCTCAAATGTTTCTTTCAGCTGGCATCACCTACGACAAATCATGAACCATGAGCACACAGGTTTCTAATACTAGCAAGGTGACATCTGAGAGTGTATGTATACTTCATGACTGTATACAGCAAACATTGAAAATACATTGTGCTTCCATTGATATCTAAAGTTGCTAAAATATTTTAAAAAGAAAAGAGGGAGATATGAAATCTGATAAAGGCTAACAAATAAACCAGGACTTCAAGATTCTTCCCTCTAACAGTAATACCATATTTATATATAAAATATATATATTTATATATGTATTTATAAATTAAATAGTTATTGAGTCTTTATGATGTGAAAACCCTGTGCTGGGCACATGGAAAGTAGAAATGAATAAAGCAAATAATGCTGATGAAATAATTTAAAAATTTTATTTAAATGGAAAAATCCTTCCTAACTGGTACAAATCATCCTTTAAAACATAAATGTTTTGTAAAACAATTTTAAAATGTAAATAAGAAGAATCCCTTAGATCCAAATGATGTACTAATGATTGCTTTTTTGGCACACTGAAGATTAATAAATTTACCAAGTAAGCCCCGGCATCATAGGTATTTGGGTAGCTACGTCGTAGACAGACATTCACCTGCAGTTACACTATTAAAGGTACCAAGTAATAACAGAATTCCATAGGTCCCATTTGGATAGGTAGAATGGCCATAGTGGACACAATAGAGTTAACAAATTCTAGGCATCTCTTTTACAGTGGATTGGGAAAGTTTGCATTTCTTTAAGTGCTCAGATCTTCATAACCATGTTAACATGATGACTATCAATAAGTTTTGTACCTTAGACTTCTTATAAATAAATAATTTCTAAAATTGGAATATGAAGTTGAAATGCTATCCCTACACATTAACTACATGTAAATTAATAATTTAAGAAAATGTTGCATATTTGAGATAAATATATATTATTTAACATTATTTAAAGTACCACTGCTACTTTAAAAATAGCTACCCATTACACACATGCTCCATACAAACATATAGCATAACCTGAAGGAAGTTTTAGTTAAAAAAAAAATGAAACAGCTGTACTGAGGCAGATTATGTAGTGGAAGCATAAAAATATATAACATGCATGATTGTTGAAAGTATTACACTCAGAAATATTCATACATTTTAATATAATTTATGATATTTTAGAGTCTACAATGTGAAATATTTAAAGAGGGAAGTAGTATATTGTATATTGCAATACTCATTGTTTGCCACTACAGTTCTACTTTTTATTAATATTTGCAATAATAGATCTAGGTCCTTTTATCTTTTTTAAAGATTTATTCATTTACTTGAAAGGCAGTTATGGAGAGAGAAAGCAAGAGAGAGAGAGATCTTCCTTCTGTTGGTTCACTGCTCAAATGGCTGCAATGATCAATTCTGGGCCAGGCTGAAAGCAGGAGCTGGGAACTTCCACATGATAGTGGGGTCCCAAGCACTTGGGCCATCCTTAGCTGCTGTCTCAGGCACATTAACATGGTGCTGGATCAGAAGTGGAATGGCCAGACCCTGAACCAAGGCTCTGATATTAGAGGTTGGTGTTGTAAGCAGTGTATTAACCCACTGTGCCCCTTCTTTTAACTTTAAACCTTGAGCCTGGTTGTGGTGCAGAAGTAAAGCCTATGGTGCCAGCCTCCCATATTGGAGTTCCAGTTGAGGCTTGACTGTGCCACTTCTGATCCAGCTCCTTGCTAACACAGCTGCAAAAGCAGCAGAAGCTGGTCCAAGTAGTTGGGTCTCTGGCCACCTATGTAGGAGACCTGGATAGAGTTCCTGGCTCCTGGCTTACAACCATTTGAGGAGTGAACCAATGGGTGGAATATCTCTCTTTGTCCCTCCTCTGTAACTTGGCCCTTCAAATAAATAAATACATCTTAAAAAAAAAAAATTTAAACCTTAACTTTGTCAAAAGACAGAATTACACTCATTGCGATTAGAGATGTTTATTAGGTTTATTTCAATTCTGGAGCTGGGCATCACTTCATTCCATAAAACAGATGATTTTTCTGATGAGTGGAGAAGAGGAGGTTGGTTTTACAGGGAAAGCAGAGCTGAAGAAAGCAGGAACAAAGAGGAAAGATTCAATTGGTAATAGTAAAGTTACTTTCCTTGAAAGGTGAGACATGGAGACAGAACTACATAAAGATAGCTGGTTGATTAACACTGTAGTGACTTTAGGTTTTTGTGTAAGGATTAAGGCAGAGGGGACTTTATTATCATGCCAATTGAAACTGGCTTGTTTAGGAAATTTGGCTGCCATCTGTCACTCTGGTTTCTGGGATGGCCAGATAAAGAGCTTAGTTTCGGGTTGGTGACACAGAACTTTAGCATGGTGACTCCATTTTGATTTTGTCTGGTCTGTTGGGGCCCAGTGTAGGAGCTTAGCACAAAATCATGGCCTCCTGTGATTTTTTTTTATTTTGGTAACTTGAACTTGGAGGTGCAAAAATTCTTCCAATTCCATTAAATGCAAAAATTGAAAGTAGATTATTATTCTGACATATTTTTGTAATGAAAAATTGCACCAGAATTATATGACTATAGTGAACATTATGAGTAAATATTCCACAGACCTCAGAAGTAAAAACACCATATGCACTTATAAAATTAAAGGTTTTAACTACACATTAACATGCAAAATTATTAATTCATATTCTCAGAGCATCAGCATGTAGTGTTTTTCTGCAGCATACTGATGCCTGTTGTTGAAAAGATTGCTAATGCAGAATATTTGCATTCAGCCCCTGCCTCAAATAAATATCAACATCACTAAAATACAATATTCTGAAATATGAAGCATGTCACTCTAACTGAATAGCTCTCTTATATGAAGAGCGAAGGTAAATTGCTTTCCTTTAAAACTTATCAGAAGTGAACACAACCCTTATCTTTCACTGGAATTACGAAGAGCAAAATAACTTTGAAATAGCTTGGTTTCTTGCTTTTGCTAGCTTTGCTTTTTATCTCAGAAATATAGTGCATTTTATAATCATTGTAAAGAAATGGTACTAATTAAAATATTAATGGATGGGTGATGTTATCTATTTCAGATTACTTTTATCAAATGACCTGTGATATAAAGAAAACTTGAGTAAAAGAACAGAGAATAAAACTCTTTTACTGTATTATTCAATATGAGAAAAAACTGCCTCAGGAATAAGAAATCTGTATGCTTTTATAATTTAAATTAGTTTAATTATCAGACTCAGATTAATTATTCACTAAGTAGCCATCACATGAATTTCTATATTTTTATTTTTAAATAATAATTTATGTTCTTCAAAAAATTAAAATTAAAATACTGGAGGCAATGGAGTGGGAGAAGGGATTTGAATGTGCAAGGAAATAGTAAATGAATATCAAATAAATGAAAGAATAAATGACTTATGAAATCATTCTAAAGAAATCAAGGATTAAAATTAATCATAAAGGGGGTCTATGCTGTGGCTCAGTGGGTTAAAGCCATGGCCTACAGTGCTGGCATCCTATATAGGCTCTGGTTCAAGTCCCGGCTGTTCCACTTCTGATCTTGCTCCCTGCAAATATGCCTGGAAAGCATTAGAAAATGGACCAAGTCCTTGGGTCCCTGCACCATGTGAGAGACTTGGAGAGACTCTTGGCTTCTGGCTTTAGATTGGTACAGCTCCAGTGGTTTTAGCCATGTAGTAGTGAACCAGCAGATGGAAGATCTCTCTCTCTCTCTCTCTCTCTCTCTCTCCTACTCCTCTCTCTAACTCTGCCTTTCAAATAAATAAATAAATCTTCAAAAAAGTTAACATAATGGGAACAACATTTATATAAATAATGAGCAATGAAAGCCCCGATTTTAAAACTAGAAAGGGTTAAAAAGTAAGGTACTAATATTTCAACTCAGTAAGTTAGTATAAACTTCACAAAATGAGCCTAAAGAAAATAAATAAAAGTAGAAGCTATTATGAAGCAGATGGACTGGCATCATGGCACAGTGGGTTAAGCTACTCCCTGCAATGCGGCATCCTCTACTGGAGCACTGATTCGAGCCCCAGGTGCTGTTTCAGAGCCAGCTCCCTGCTAATGTGCCTGGGAAAGCAATGGAGGATGGCACAAGAGCTTGGATGCCTGTCACCCACATTGGAGATGGGATGGAATCCCTGGCTCCCGGCTTCAACCTAGTCTAGGTTGTGACCATGTAGTGAGTGAATCAGCAGATGGAAGATTTCTTCCTCTCTCTCTCTCTGTGTCACTCTATCTTTCAAAGTGAAAAAAAAAAGATTTAAAGCAGAAAAATGAAATAGGTAATTAACAGAACAAATTTATTTTGGGGAAAATAGTAATAGACTAATATATGGTGAGGTTAATGTTTTTTAACAGAGGGAAAAATGACAATAATTAAAAAAGCAAGGCATCACTACATAGAAAACACATGAGTACACTTTTAAAAAGTAAAAAACCATATCACAATTAATTTATACCAACAAATTGTGTATACTTACCTCCACTAAAACAGGTGAAAAGAGAATTCAGCTTATACCAATCATTCCTGCAGTAACATTATAAAATCTTCCTATTTCTCCAACTCTCTACAAAAAATATAAGGGGCAAATGGAAAAGGAGTCTGAATTACAAATGGCTTCTTGGCTATCCTTATAGATTCAAGGATAAAGAAATCCCAATCTAATCCAATTTATTCTAGATAATTGAAAGAAAGGGGAGACACCCAAATCAGTTTGTGAGGCTGATATAGAACCTTGATATCAAAACCCAGAGAAGCATTTTGAGACATGTGTCACTGCACCACGATGCATAAAAATAGTCAGTTTTGTAACTCCCCACTACTCTAACATCATATATCTATCCCATGATATTTCCTTTTCTCTAAATATTTTAGAGGACTTGTATTTGTCTTCAAGTTAGTTTGATATAATTTGATCTTTAACTCATCCAGAATCTGTCTTGGAGGATTATAAGAAGTATAAACTGTGGGGAGCAACTGGGAGCAATTCAGACTAGACTAAGTTACTGGAATTAAGACTTATTCTATGCATCTGCTCTCCCACAATATGGCGCTGGGAGAGGAGGCAACAGCTTCTACCCAGCTGCCTCTCACCAACTTGACAAGCTGCAGGAGCTGCTCCTGATTGGAGGAGAGCAGCGTACTCGGCGTGTGGGTAGCAGAGTTGGGATTGGTGGAAGAGGACTATAAAGGAGGAGAGAGACAACATGCACCAGGAACATCTAAGAGGAACATCTATCCGAATAACATCTGAGCAGCCCCCGAGAGAGCCGGCCGGCGGTGTGCCGCTCCCCCGCGGAAGTGGGGAAAAGCGGCAGGGGGAACCGCCCTTCCACGGAGGTGGAAGGGACGGTAGCCAACCCGGGAAGAACCAGCAGCAAACCCGGGGAGGGCCAAGCAGACAAAAGAACAGCGCAGGGTCCTGTGTCGTTCCTCCACGAAGAGGGGGAGAGACAATAAACTTAACAATTTTTTATTTATTTACTTATATATGAATGCTAGTGACAGAAGGAAGTCTCCTATCTGTTGGTTTACTCCCCTAAATGCCTGCAGCAGCCAGGATTTGTCCAGGCTTAAGCCAGGAACTGGACTTCAATCTGGACTTCATGGGTAGCCATCACCTGAGCCTGTGTTTTCAGTCATGGTGTCCTGCTGGCACGTACCCTGTTAGCTATAAAAACCCTGGATTCACCTTTTGAGACAGAGAACATTTATTTTTTTTTTACCACAGGCCTGAAGAAAAAAGGGACAAATCACGTCAAAGCCCAAATCAATCTCCCGTACAGAGAAATGTTTGCGAATTCGTGAAGTTAGACAGAACTGGGTAAAACAAAACAAGAGAACATGATAGGTGCAGATGAAAGGGCTGGGCAAGTCCTGTGAGCCCGGGCCTTGGCCAATCAATGTATATTCAAAGATGGCTGCTAGAATGTCATCAGGGGCTCTGGAAAGACAGCACAGCAAATTTTATTTTCAGCAAAAAGAACTATTATGGGATTTCAAGTGACTATGCAACAGTTATGCAAAGAAATATTGTGGGCTGTTCGCATGTTAGACAGCCCCAGAAAGCTTGCTATTAAGCAATGGGAGAGGGATCCTTTGTTGTCCAAAGTTTTGCCTCCCTGGATTGGCAGGAAGCTGGGATGAAGAGCAGAGCTGGGACTTGAATTCAGGCACTCCAGTGTGGGATGTGTGTGTCCCAACAGCATCTTACCTGCTGTGCCAAATGCCTGCTCCTATATCTTTCATTAAATTTCTCTTTTCATCATATTGATAAGTAATGGCATCAACACAATTAATGGGGGGGTGGAGAAATCAGACTTCATTGATCACAAAATCTATACATGCCCCCAGTGGTGAGCCAAGGCAAGCAAGCATCTGGCATCTTATACTTGGTTTCAAATCTGAATGGGAGAGGAATGTGGAAGCCATGCACCATTATGAAGGAAAGACTTGAGCCTTCTTCTACTGCTTTCCCAGGCCATAGAAGAGAGCTGGATCAGAGGTGACGCGTCGGGACTCAAACTAGTGTCCATATGGGATGTTGGTACTGCAGACAGGTGCTTTAACCTACTGCGCCACAGTGTCGGCACCAATCCTTTGTTCTTTATGCATTTCTTATCCATTCCCAGAAATGCCCTCCTTAGAATTCATCAGTAGCCTTCTATTCAACACCTCTTTTCAGATACCTTCCTTCTCTCTGAAGGTGTTTTTAGCCAATCATATTCCAATCTCCAACCAGTGAGAAATTCATCCCACCCTCCTTACCATATACGCCTGTGTTTTACAGCCAAGCTAATGTACATCCACTGTGTAATACATAAATTCTGACTAGGATTTGACTTCCTTGGATTACTTTTCTTTTCTTTTTTTTTAACTTTCATTTAATGAATATAAATTTCCAAAGTACAGCTTATGGATTACAATGGCTTCCCCCCCCCATAACATCCCTCCCACCCACAACCCTCCCCTTTCCCACTCCCTCTCCCCTTCCATTCACATCAAGATTCATTTTCGATTCTCTTTATATACAGAAGATCAGTTTAGCATACATTGAGTAACGATTTCAACAGTTTGCTCCCACACCAAGATTCACTGAGAGTTACTGGGCTTGAGTCTCTTAGACTGAGGTTGTCGCTCCCCCATTCGTGGAGGAACGACACAGGACCCTGCGCTGTTCTTTCTGCCCGGCTCTTCCCGGGTTAGCTGCCAGTCCCTCACTCGTGGAGGAACGACGCCGTCCTGGGTTAGCTGCCGGCCCCTCCACATCCGTGGAGGGGCGGCACCCCCCCCCCCCCCCGCCGCTTTCCCCGCTTCCGAGGAGGAGCGGCACACCACCGGCCGGCTCTCAGGGGCTGCTCAGATGTTCCTCAGGTGTTCCTTCAGATGTTCCTGGAGCATGTTGTCTCTCTCCTCCTTTGTAGTCCTCTTCCACCAATCCCAACTCTGCTACCCACACGCCGAGCACGCTGCTCTCCTCCAATCAGGAGCAGGATCAGCTCCTGCAGCTTATCAAACTGATGAGGCAGCTGCGTAGAGGCTGTTTGGTCTCTCTCAGCGCCATATTGTGGGAGAGCAGATGCATAGAATAAGTCTTAATTCTAGTAACTTAGTCTAGTCTCAGTTGCTCCCCACAGAGGTCACTTATATTCTGCCTTGATTTAACTTTATATTAAGCATGGTGAAGAATGAAATAGACTCTATAATATATACCTCATGTCCTCATTGCCGACTGCTAGTCTACGTAAGAACTTCAAGTTAGGCTATATAATTACTAATGTGTCTTGCCAATTGAGTAATTTCTTTGATTCTTTATGAGAATATGCTTTTATTATACTATAAGGATTTGAATCAATGAAAATAGTTAACTGACTTTCTTGAAAACTTATGTAGACTGAATTATTTTCAAAAAGAGTTATAATATATTTAATAATGGTTAAAAATTTAAACTCTGGCCGGCACTGTGGCTCACTTGGCTAATCCTCCACCTTTGGCGCCGGCACCATGGGTTCTAGTCCAGTACCAGTTTCGGTTGCTCCTCTTCCAGTCCAGCTCTCTGCTGTGGCCCAGAAAGGCAGTGGAGGATGGCCCAAGTGCTTGGGTCCCTGCACCCGCCTGGGAGACCAGGAGGAAGTACCTGGCTCCTGGCTTCAGATCGGCACAGCGCTGGCCATAGCGGCCATTAGGGGAGTGAACCAATGGAAGGAAGACCTTTCTCTCTGTCTCTCTCACTGTCTATAACTCTCTCTCTCTCTCTCTCTCTCTCTCACTACCTAACTCTGCCTGGCAAAAAGAAAAAAAAATTTTTAAACTCTAGGAAACTATTCTGTAAAGCTATAGGATCTTAATACTTAAATCTGAAATGATTTAAAAATGCATTAAAAGCTGTAAAAATCAATGATAGTGTCTCTAGTAGTCAAATGATTATTGAAGTCCAGGACCTGAAGTGTAGCAGGTTAAATTTAGCCTGTAGCACTGGCATCCCATATGGGCATTGCTTTGAGTCCCTGCTGCTCCACTTCTTTTTTTAAGATTTATTTTTATTTATTTGAAAGACATAGTTACACAGAGAGAGGTAGAGACAGAGAGAGAGGTCTTCCATCTATTGGTTCACTCCCCAAATGGCCACAATGGCCAGAGCTGAGCTGATCTGAAGCAGGAGCCAGGAGCTTCTTCTGGGTCTCCCACGTGGCTACAGGGGCCCAAGGACTTGGAGCATTCTCTGCTGCTCTCCTAGGTGCATTAGTAGAGAGCTGGATCAGAAGTGGAGCAGCTAGGACTTGAATCACTACCCATATGGGATGCTGGTACTGCAGGCTGGAGCTTTAACTGCTGTGCCATAGCGCTGATACCTGTTCCACTTCTGATCCAGCCCCCTGCTAATGTGCCTGGGAAACAAGTAGAGGATGGCCCAAGTGCTTGAGCCACTTTACCCACGTGGGAGACTGGGAAGAAACTCCTGGCTTTGGCCTGGCCCAGCCCTGGTCGTTGCAGCCATTTGGGGAGTGAACCAGCAGATGGAAGATGTCTCTCTCTCTCTCTCTCTCTCTCTCTCTCTCTCTCTCTCTCTCGCTGTAACTCATCCTTTCAAATAAATAAAAATCTCAAAAATAAAAAAGAATCCACCTGTCTTACCAATTCTGCAGTCAATCTGCCATGTCAGAGGAAATAATTTGTCCCTCTAATTCCACATTCTATCTGAGTCCTAATCTATTTTCTTCTCATCATTAAACATATACTGCTCTTATTTTTAATAAATAAATGATCATCTAATTACAAGTTTCATACCTAATCACACTTTTCTGAAATTGGCCAACAATCTCTAAGACTTTTAACAGCTCTTGTTCCTTGACTACAATAGCTGTAAAAATTTTGAAAGCTAAAATGGAATATAGAAAATCAAAACCAATGGCATACATGGTACAGGTTGCTGTTCAATATTTGTATGTTAATTTCTGTAATATGAATGATTGTACATGATGTATATCACATGTTTTGGCTTGAGATATGTAATTCTTCATGGAAAATAGTTGCATGATGGAAAAATAAAATCAGATGAATAAAATA